TGCTGAAGAGTCTGTGATGATTCAAGCCTTCAGTGTTTCTGAATTCACACTCAAGCTTTTCTTGCCTGAGGCCTGACCCATTTTTATGTCTGATGAGGAAGAAATGAAAATGAAGACAGAAAGAATGTGTGTGTGTGTGTGTGTGTGTGTGTGTGTGTGGATGCGTGCATGAAAATGCAATGAAAACTAAATTTAGGGAAATAAAGTAGTGAAGAACTCTGAATTGTTTTCACAGTACTTTATGTTACTTGAGTTCATACTAACTTTACTAAGGTTAGAAAGTTAGCTTTAGCTTGAATGTTATGTGTATATGTATGCTAATGTTGACAAACAGTCAAGATACAGGAAAAGATAGAAGATAGAGTCGTACAGACCCTAAATGACGCCAATGAAAATGTGCTAAAATATGACTCAGGACCCACATGTTGCACAACACTGAAAATCTCGTCTCACTTATGCTTCAGGCTAAGAATCAAGTCATTGTGGTATCACAGTCCTGTGAAGAATAGCTGCACATCCACCTGTGTATGTGTGTCTCCAGGCAGCAGAGAGGCTACATGGCCACCCAGGGACCACTGGCTGAGACCACAGAGGATTTCTGGAGGATGCTGTGGGAACACAACTCCACAATAGTGGTCATGCTCACTAAACTGAGGGAAATGGGACGGGTATGAACTCCACATACTGTGTATCTGTGAACATGAGCAGTTACAGAGGAGCCGCTGTTTGCAGCATTAAATCCATACATTGAGTGTTCTCTGCTCCTCCAGGAGAAATGTCATCAGTACTGGCCGGCCGAGCGCTCAGCCAGGTACCAGTACTTCGTAGTGGATCCTATGGCGGAGTACAACATGCCTCAGTACATCCTGAGGGAGTTCAAAGTTACCGACGCCAGGGTGGGTTGATGTTTGTGTTTATGGTTTGCTTTTACTTTGCTTGGATGACGGTGACATTTGTGCTCCGATCCCAGTCCATCAGTGCTGTTTAAAGGCACTGGTGCAGAGCGTGTCCTATTGATCGGCACTGTGTTGTTGTTGGTGTGTTCTTATGTTAATGTGTGTCCAACACTACAGGTTTTTATTACTGACAGACCGACCCGGATTAGTTCAACAATGTTGTCTCCAGATTATCATGGCAGCGTGGGTCTGTGTCACAGATCCTGTATGTCCGTACCCCCCCCCCCCCCCCCCCCCCCCCCCCCCCCCCCCCCCCCCCCCCCCCCCCCCCCTCACCCTTGTGATCGGTGTGTGCCAGTCATAGATAACTCTAGTTGAGCCTGTCCCGCGCTGACGCCACATCGACAGATGCTCTATTGATCTCCATTAAAGGGGAGTCAGGAAGGCTGAGCAGAGGAGAAAAGATGTAATTGCGAACTGAGTGGCTGGTGATAGCAGACATTCTGACGTTACAGCTTGAAGTTAACCACAGCCACTGATCCAGGGTCAGATAACAGCAATCGTTACAACGTAGAAAGCATATTCCTGGGCAGAGACTCAAAATAAACATCTTGACAGTGTTGAAAAGACAACAGATACATCTTCAGATTAGATCAGTTTCGCAGTGTTATTTTTATCTGCCTTCATTTTTCTTTTTTTTTTCTTTTCAAATCTGCAGGACGGGCAGTCACGGACAGTTCGTCAGTTCCAGTTTACTGATTGGCCGGAGCAGGGTGTACCTAAATCTGGGGAGGGCTTCATTGACTTTATTGGCCAAGTGCATAAAACCAAGGAGCAGTTTGGTCAGGATGGTCCAATCAGCGTTCACTGCAGGTAAACACATGCACATTTTCAGTTGAATATTAACAAGGGCTTCTCATTGGTTTAAAATGTTAAGATCTCTCTCATGTATTTACTCCAAAGTTACTCAGTAGTCAGTCATTCAGCAGCAACTACAGCACCGATACAATCAGAATGGAAGCTCACTCTCTGTGTGTCTCTGCAGTGCTGGAGTGGGAAGGACAGGTGTTTTCATCACTCTGAGTATTGTCCTGGAGAGGATGCGTTATGAAGGGGCAGTGGACATCTTCCAGACTGTCAAAATGCTGCGGACACAGAGGCCAGCAATGGTGCAGACTGAGGTAAACACAGCTCATCACTGACCAGTGTCATCTCAATCTGTTTTGTCAGCCAGTTACCCTCTTATTAAAGTAGGTCTTTTGTGGATGAAAGAAGTGGTCAAAATTCACATGACCCTCATTGCTCGTTTGTAGAGTTGTCTCTTTATTTTTTCACATTATTATTATTATTATTTCAAGTCACAAAAAATGTAATAAATGAATCAGAACCCCACATTGACCACAGTGTGGTGCTGTGGTACACATGAGCCTCCTCATGTCCTCAGGGCTGAAGTCACTTTAATGTAACTAATTCACACCAAGTATATTTAAAACTATGAAAAAACAATGAAATTCAACCTCATAGTCTTTTTTTATTTTGTGTACAGGCTTCTTTACTATACAATGAGTGCATTCAAAAATAGCCTCCACTCGGAGAAACCATTGAGAAATTAGAAACCGCATCAAAAATTCGACATGTTTACTTTTCAGCAAAGGGCTGAGAGCCATTTTTGTACTTGACCTTGCCTTCACTCCTGCGGATCTGTTGTCGTCGTGCATGCGTCAGTGTGTGTAGGTCCTCGTCGCCGACCATGTGTGCTCAGGGCCTAATTATGTCAATATTGGAGAAGGCACTCTCACATTGTAAATAGATTACACTCATCTAAAATCAATATTTGTGTTTATCTCAACAAAAAATTTGATCGTTTCATCGGTGGGCTCTAACCTACACCCTCGGAAAACTTTATCTCCAAATCCATCCTTTATATTTAGCTTCACAGTCAGACAAGTAAACAGAGCCTGTTGTCAGGTAAAATAACGTATACACTCGCCTCATTGGACCCTCAGCTTTTTAACAACCAGCAACTTTAAAAAGCATTATTTTCTAATTCTCATTCATTGATTTTACACAAATATTAATTAAGAATGTGTACAGAGTATATGTTTTATATTGGGTTCATATAAACAATAGGAAATAGTTCCATCTCCCATCAGTCCCAGCATCAGTGTTCAGCTCTCAGACATCTCTGCCCCTCTCTCTGTGTCTGTGTCTCTCCCAGGATGAGTACCAGTTCTGTTACCAGGCTGCTCTGGAGTACCTGGGTAGCTTCGACCACTATGCAACATAAGCCGGGAGACAACTTTCCTTCCGTCTTTCTGCTCCGAGGTTCACAAACAAACCAACCACTGAGCGAAAGCAGGGAAGGAGCAGCCTGAAGAAGAAAAAAAAACAACACAAGCATAGAAAGAGAGAGATTCAAAGATGAACTCTAGAAACCAACAAGGACGAAAAGCAACAATGAAAAACAGCTACAAGAAATCTGTCCCTAATAGCACACACACACACACACACACACACACAAACACACACATATGCACATATGCTCTCTCATACACACACACACACACTCACCGGGACCTCCTCTGAGGGGCTGGTGTGTGTGGAGACTCTCCATGTGTAATCCATATACTTACCTCAGTGTTCCAGTGTGAAGGATGTACAGTATAATACATGTGTGTTGTTGTCAGCTATCTCCAATATGAACCAGTGAAATTCAAACGGCTTCTGAACAGAAATTATGATACTATATGTGTATAAAAATACAAACAAAAAAAAAGATGAAAACAAAAAAAAATAACACAAAGAGCCTGGATATTTGCTGCACCCTAAATGGGCTTTTTATCCTCAACTTTGTATCGGTTTGTCGTACTAAAGGGATAACAAAGTGCAATGGTCAACATTTCTACGCGTCTGTCAGTCAGTCCAGCACAGGTAGTTTGGACTCCAGCTTAAATCAGACGACAGGGTTATGCCTCAGCAGAAGCCTGCAGTACGGACCTGGTACCACCGCCCTGGAGGCTGCTGGGAAAAGCATGTGGATGTTCATACTCACCTGACGTACCGTGCCAAGAGATCCAACGCAGCAGGAACACAAGCTGTGGCCTATGAGAGGAGAGGAGAGAGAAGGCTCTGTCTTTCACTCAGCACAACATGAACCCATACAAGAGAATGCTTTTAAACGCCGACCGGGGATCACTTCTCTCATTCACACTCTCCGGTCACGTCCTCACCGATCCCCCCCCACCCCACCCCACCCTCCTGGCCTCAGAACAACGATCCAAATCCATCACAGCCCCCCACCACCCCCGCCCCGGCTGAGATTTGTAGTCAAGCACATTCATTCATTCAACAAAAGCTTGCTGGATATTTGCCGTCGTCCTTGTTCATCCTTCACTTCAGATCCTTCAGTCCTATTGTGACAGTGGCTTATCGAAGGAAAGATTCAAGCTTATTTCCTTTCTTTCTTAATACAGAAAAAAGACACTTTTTAGTCGATTTCTGCAGATTTTTGTAAAAAAAATCTTTTTATCGTACGTCTTTGCCTTACACTGTCTTCTTGTTTTTTTTAACATGCAGCCTAATGCTTACGTGTTGTGTGCTGAACTCTCACTGTCGTCAAAACCAAGCTACGTGATGAGGCGGTGAAATGTTTAAAAACCATCTCCATAGTGGTGACAATAGAACACATCGCACAACTGAGTTACAGCGACACTTTATTGTAAAGGTAGAGTATTCAGGAAATATGCTTAGCATTGGCTAACAGTTAGCATGTAGTACGCAGTGCCGCCCATACGGGGGACTCTGTTATGCTTCGGTGGTCTATGAGTCGACTAAGCCGCCTTAACGTTATTGATAATTGGACACACCCTCTTCGTGGACACTATCATTTAGCACAGATTGAATTATGGGGCTGTACGTCTTTAACAGTGCACAGAAGAAGAACGCTGTTTTGCTCCTTAAATAAAATAGTATAATATCTAATATAATAATAAATAGTGTTCTGAGCTAAAACATCTGTATTAAAACAATTTAAAGTACATGATTAAAAACTACACAGTTCTCCTAGTGTTGGCTGTGAGCGTTGTGTATGTTGTTGAGATCAGAACAGAGAACATGGAGTCCGAGGGCAGCACCACTGTGGGTGATTACACCACCATCGACTTATTTATGGGTTGCTTTGTTTGTTTGTTTGTTTACAAAATTCTTGCATACTCTGTCTTTAGGTACATATATCTTACTTAGAGGCCTCTAAGTGTGGGAATACGCTGTTACCTTTTGGCCACTTGATCAAACCATAGCACAATGTCCTCGGTTAGTTCTGGACTTCTTTTTCAAATACTTGACCAAAACGCTCAAATGCGATCTAAGTCCCCAGGCCTCATCATTTGATCAGCACAGCTTCAAAAAACCACCGTCAATAATTCCCCTTCATTTCCTCAACAGCGCAGCCTTGTGAGATCTGTATTTAGAGCACATGGTTTTGTTGGTTTAAAAACTCACACACAATCAGGTCCAAGAACAAAGAGCACAGTGCCGCTGTATCAGACACAGTCAATCAAGTTCTCACTTTTGTACATACAATCGTTGGAGTCCAATACTGGTGCAGTTACTGAGCACAACATATAACGTGGGATTGGATGTGGTGTCTTTCTTCGTCGCAGAAAAAGCCTTATTGCTATTGTTCACTTATTTCATCTGCTTTTTTTACACACATTTATTCTATTTTGTTACTTTTCATCTGGTTTTTATTTATTACATTTAGCAACTATAACCGAGACGGTGTTGTTTACTTGTTTCATGGCAAGCCAATGTAAATGTACGATGTTGTCACTAATTTTTTTTTTTTAGTTTTGGTGCTTTTTTTATTTGCTTATTGTTATTATGATTATTATAAATGTACACCCTCCATTGCAGGGTACTGTTTGATACCAATTACTGATGTCTATTTAGTTAGCTTGAGATGTACATTAGAGGCAAACATAGTTTAAGTTTACAGAGACGCCCCCCTTCCCGCCCCTCGCCCTTCGTACAGTAGCAGCAGCAGTGGTGTGGTCATAGCAGCAGAGGTGTGATCCTGGTAGGACTTAGGGCATCAGAGGGATAGGATTCAGAGATGGTGAAAACCCCAAGCCGTCGGTGTTTAGTTTGCTGTTGAGCACATGGTAGCAAGTGTATTTTTGACAGAGATCAGGTAAGAGACGCACCGCTACGCACACTTCTCGGGCTTATTCTTTAAATCTTGGAGAAAAAAAATCTCTCTATGAATATGAACTTTATGTGTGGTCCAGAAGTCTTGACGATGTGTGACATATATGAAATATGTTATTCCTTCAATTTCTGATCATTGTGTCAAGAGAAATATAAAAGGCACACACAAACACACAACTTGATATAAAAATGTGTTGAGGACCAGCTCTGATGATGATGATGATGATGATGAAGATGGGATCCGTCTCACCTATGTACCTGTTCTTTCCTTTGAAAACCATGGATGTAGATATTGTATCTTGACTTTGTATTAAAAGCAGGATGATTGGATATACAGCACAAAGAGCTGTGTGGATGCTGGGTTTTTATGTTATTCACTCTGTGTCCACTAGATGGACCCAAAGCAACCTGTGATCAAGACTTTTAACAACAGCATCAGTATAGTTCATAGCACAGTATATATTTTACCTCAGTTTCTCACACTATATTATTACGGTTGGACATATATATGTTTTGAGGCTGTTGTCATTTTCTGTATCAGGTCAGGGGTCAGAGGTCAGAGTCTTGTACAGGGTATAGAGAAAAAAAAAAGCTGTTGCTCATTCTCTTTGATCTTGATCAAATACCTCCAAGATGGTGGCTGTTCATGGAGGTGTTGGGAGGGGTCTGTCGTGATGTTTGCTGCAGGTGGAACAAATCACACTAACAATGTGAACAAGGAGGCTTTTGATTTTCTTCCTCTTTATTTATTTAATTTTTTTACCACACTGATGTTATTCCCCAGAGTCTGCCTGTATTGTACTACACAGTATACCACAACAGACTATCAAGTACTGCGTCAGGAGGCTCTGGATACTGAGGGTAGAATATTGTCATTATCAAAGTCAAGTTATATCAGGCTCCTACTCCTGTAAATACACTTTATCAAAAGAAAAGAGAAACATATTTACTGTTACAAAAAAATACATTTTTTTTTAATTTTTGTAATCATTTATATTAATACTGTCAATGAATTTAAATTTTTTAATCAGATTGATTACAGTGCAGAGGTGGATTAACCCTAGTGGTTGTCCCGAGTCCTTAAATGGGGGAGGTAGTTTTGAAAAAAAGCATCTAGCACAAAAAAGATGTCAAAATGGATGTTTCTTCCTTTTATCACTTCTTCTTCTTCTTCTCGTCCTCCTCCTCCTTGGTAGAAATATTTATTGATCTTTTATATGAATGTATTATTTAGTTCAATTCTCCTTGATTGAACATTGCTCAATGCTGTGGTGTTTTTCCTCATCACTGTCTTTCCACTGACTGTTTCCATGAACACAACAAACCGTTCTGTACCAAACTGAGCTCATGACTGAGAGCAGAGGAGGAATGTTACTCCACAAACACACACACACACACACACACACACACACAGCCCTGAATGAGATACAATCAGCTCAGACATCTCCCAGAGTGAAGAACACAGGCACAAAAACACATCTAATCACAGCAGCGTTCCAAAGAGTTTAACTTTCAGTTCTGTATAAAGTTCATAACGACGTCCTTATCGCCATTGTTTCTGAATGAGCCGTCTGATAAGGAGAAGACCAGAAGGACCTGAACAGGAAGTACATCGTGTTCCAGACCAGGACAATGGCCACGACTGGTTCGTCCATTCAGCCTGTCTGTCTGTCTCCTCAGTAAGTCCAGCAGTGTCTTTAATTCACATTATTCATGTTTCCACTGTAGATAATAGGAGTGAGGTATTGTCCTGTCCATCAGAGTTAGGCCATCAATGGTCAGTTCACTCTCACCCTATGTTGAGACACGTCAGGTGCTCCAGCAGCTATTCATCATTAAATTAACCCCAGTCATGTGCACCAGGAACAGTGACATTTTAGGCTGGTGTAGAGTTCCTACACACACACACACACACACACACAATGAGAGATCAACGTGACATTGCTGTAAACAAACATCTACTCATTCTACTGTGTACAAAAGTACTTTATCTGAATGCCGATCTAACGTTCGGCATCACCTTTGGTCCACATTATTTTACCAATCCAATTTTCACCACAGACAGTAAACATTGTAAAAATGAAAATAGATAAATAAATAATAAAAGTCCTTCATTTGATTCCCACCTGAACTATTATTTATCTTTTCAGGACGTTGCGGACCTAAAGGTCACGGCTGTGAGTGTGCTGTAAAAGAGTTACCCAGAGGTATTTTACAAGGACATTAAAAATTACAGTCATGGGATTTCACTACTATAATATATATATATATATATATATATATAAAACAGTCCTAGTCTGATGTGTATCTGTGCAGGCTGAGCAGGTTGCATGGTGAGACACTAACGTTTACAGGTTACCAAATACCTCTATGTGTGTCTGCGTGTGTGTGTGAGGGGGTGTGGCCGCGCTTGGTCGTCATCGGTTAAGCTATTGTGTGTGTGTTGCTATGACAAGTCAAATCTATGTGAGGCCTTTACACCTGTTGAGTGAACTCTTCATCTCTCTCTCCTGATTGGCTGCTCCAACACTAACAGAGTCCATCCTACATGTGGGTTCTTTTCTTGTCCGCTGTCACCTGCTATTTCATTTTGCCACTTCTGCCAGGACCAGAAGGATCTAGACTGGATAGATCAGAGTGCACGTGTGGATGACTTGTGTTTTTCTCTTTTCACCATGAGTCTCAAAAACAGGAGATTCTCCCTGGACAGTTCTCTGTGAGTATGAACTTTTGACCCTCACTAATCTGTTTCCACAATGTGGTTTAAGAAACCTGAAATAATTCTGTTCAGATCCCTGCTGTATCCCAGACAGCAGAATGACAGTGTTTCTAACTCAGACTTGTCTATTTGTCAGCCATAATTACAAAAATACAAGAGCATTTTTTTCTGACTCGAACCTCGGTCACGCCGCTTTTGTTTGGCAGCATTTATCTGAGTGGAAAATCACCACCTGTGTACGTACTGGAGTGAACAGAGATAACAAAGTTGTGTTTCTGAAACATTAGAAACATGTGGACTTGTATTTTTAGAACGACGTCTCACTGACTTTTATCTCTGGCTGCAGCAACCTGGACGGAACTGGAGTCTTCGGTTTGAGAAGAAGCAGCTTGGCCAAATTCAGCAACAGGAAGTCCAGGCAGAGTCACAGTCTGGACGAGGCTCGACTGGGCATCAAGGAGTTTCATCAGAGCCTCACCTCCAACACTTCAGTCAGGTGAGCGTTAGCGCAGAGCTACGAGAAACCAGAGGAAACTTCTCGACCTTTGGAGTGACGTGAACGTCCGCCGTCTCCTCTGTCATCTCTGCAGGCGCAGGCAGGGGGCGATCGCCGAGGAGAACCACGAGAGCTCGTACGAAGTGAACAGCACCGTGAGTCTGTGTACAGAGTGAACATCTGCAGCTCCTCACACCTCAGCCTCTTCCCTAACAAGCCATCTGAAGTGACTGTATTTCACTCTGACCTCTGGCTGTGTTTCCCCACAGAGCTTCCAGAAACACAATAAAAGCTTCCACAAGCTGTTCCCAGAGATTCCCGAGGGGGAAAACCTGACACACGGTAAGTTGAGCTCCAGGCCCAGAATTTCTCCTCATGTTACTCCGCATTGATTGAGGAAATGACATCACACGCTGTCCTTCTCTCACCTTGGCCCTTCTTCCCTGTGCTGTGTTTTACTGGGCAGTTCAGTTCATTTTTCATAGTTCGTTTTTTTCTTCTTCTTCTTCTTCTTCTTCTTCTTCTTCTTCTTTTTCTTCTTCTTCTTCTTCTTCTTCTTCTTCTTCCATGTGTGAGTTCAACTGAGGTTTTCAACATTAGTTTGTGACATAGTGTTAGATGACTCAGGTGCAGAGAATAGGTCAGAGACTCTATATATACAGTACATGATATGTTGGACTGAGCTCTATGGCACAATATGAATCAATCAATTTAATACATAATACCAATACCATATAACACCACACTAATTAAACTAACTATTGGTTAGTACAGAACCAGTATCTCAGAAACAGGCCAGCCCAGTGTGAAGTCCTCATGTGAATCTGACTCGTGTGTCTGTGTTCCAGTGTTCACCTGTGCGTTGCAGAAGGAGGTGCTCTATCACGGGAAACTCTACGTCTCCAAGAACCGTTTGTGTTTCCATTCCTCTGTGCTGCTCAAGGACACTAAGGTATAACAACACAATCAAGTCCTAGCCGCAGCTGCACAGGTGAAGTTTCCCACCGCTGGGGTTAGGCTGTTTAGGCTGGAATCAGTTTTAGTTGAACATTAAATCATATTGAAGTGATGTCGTTTCATTTAAATACATTGTTAAGGCTGGTACTAAGGATTACTGTAGGCATTAATGGGCTGTAAAACCACAACGACTTTCACCTTTAGGGACTCCACGCGTGTGCGTGTGTGTGTGCGTATTGAGAAATGACCACGATAAAAACGTTCCTCGACGTGTCTCAGTTTTAAGAGGATTTCTCGTTATATTTCTCCTCCACTGCAGGTTGTTATTTCAGTGTCCAGTGTCACAGAGGTGAAGAAACACAACTCAGCTCTGTCCATGCTGTCTGTCCACACTGCTGATGGAGACAAGGTCACATTCCATTCATTGTTATCTAGAAAAAGGGTTTACTTTTCCAGTGTTGCTTCCAATATTGTAACACAGTGTTTTAAATGTGTCCAAATGTTTCTCTAAGTATTTTATTTGTGTTGTTGTAATGATCACTGATAACAGGAACTCAGTGTTCATTTGTTGGTTTTACCTGTTTAATCATGGAACGTGGTCATCCGTTTGAAGTGACACTAACAACGTCACTTTCACTTTCTCCGTTTACACCCTTTGTTTTTCTTCTGCAGTACTCCTTTGTGTCATTGAGGAGTCGTAAGATGTGCTACAAACTTCTCCAAAGTGTCTGCTTGTACGCACAGGTAACGTAGCTCCTGCAGTTGTTGACGAGACGAATGTCAAGGTTATATACAGTAAAAAAGTAGTAAAAATCAGTAAATAAATGTTACAAACAGCCGAAATAAAAATGAGAGCAGCTGGGAAGGCTATAAACCTTAAGCATGCTAAATATGCTAAATATACTTTTAGCACGATATAAGCTACAGCTATAGTTATATATTAGTTCTCAATGGTCTTGAAGAGTGTCACCGTCACCTAAGAGCACTGTTAATTAAAAAACATAAAATAGATATAACGTCCATCTTTAGTATTTACTGTATGCTGTTGTTCTATTGGTCTCCAGCAGGGGGAGAGTCCCGGTGTCAGCCCGCAGCACTCCTCTGCAGACAATGAAGCAGGTCATGACGGGGTGAGCTCCATTTACACAACCAACCAATCACACTCCAGTGAAGTCAGATATGACAGAGATTATCACAGGAGCTTCTCTGACCCTGTTCTCGTCCACAGATGTCCAGTTACTCCAGCCTGGAGGACAGCTTCGACCAAGACCAGGGAGGACATGTGGACCTGGAGGAAAGTTTACCCAAGTCATCCAGTGATGGTAGGGGGAGTCTAAAGAGTGACTTGGTCACTGGTTTTTAGGTTGAACGATAATCAACTTTGTCACTTTATTGTATTTCCCTTTTTTTCAGATACTTTAAAATTCGGTTCCAGTCATCAGAGCAGCCAAGGTGTGTACAGTGTAGCACACAGACACAGACACAGACAAAGACACAGATACAGACACAGATACACAACAACTCTGCTCATCTGCGTTGATGATCTTGTTCTTTCTCTCTCAGGTGGATCTTGGATCTGGAGCCTTAGGGAAAAACTAACTTCATTTTTCCACCTCGGAGAGATGAGGCATTTCAGCGCCCTCTTCTTCATCTATATTATACTGTGAGTAACTGATAGTTCTCTGTTAGAACTACAGTAACATGGGGTTTGTTTGGTATTGTAAATATTTGCTGCTGAAAAAACATTATACAAATGTAACCATGGAACACAGATGAATCGGATGAAACTGATTAAACTGATGAAACTGATTTTTTGATACAAAAAAACAGGGAGATTTTGTCACCAAAAATGTAGCTAATTAAGTTACATGTTCTTCTGCTGTCAGACAAAGTTGACTCCAGTTTGATCCAAAATGTTTATCAAATAAATGAAGACTAAAAAAATAAACTAAAATAAACTTAAATTTCTATGTAATAATAGTTATTTCTCAAGACTGATAGGAACTAAAAGAACCTACAACATAATGTCAGAGTACTTCTGTGTACATATATGTGCTACACATGTGTATAAGCTGCTGGAGTACAACTACAAATATATACAGTTGTTTTTTGAAAATGCTACCATGAGAGTAAACTGTAGGTTAGCCGTTAGCTTCGCTTCTGTCACCAGTCTTTCTGGAATGACTGCTGGCTTTCCAGGAAACTGAAAACTATTACTTCTCAAAGTGGAGTTTTTCACTTGAGAATGTTGTGTTTTTATCTGTGTTTGTACAGAATCCTGTTCCTCCTCCTGGCGTCTGGCTACATCGGCCTGAAGATCAGCGCTCTGGAGGAGCAGCTCAGCTCTTTGGAGGCTCTGACTGAGATGACATAGATCACACAGAGTGAGTAGAAGACAAACATGAGGCCTGTGAGTGGTGACTTCTTTAAAACAATTACTTGTAGATTAGATCAGACGGAGCAGTTGCACAGGTTCCATGATTACATTCCTGAAAACCCCACACCCAGAAGGAAGTGTGTGAATGGAGATGTACAGAACATTTTCCTTGAACACCAGGTGTTTGTTGTGGGTGATAATATTTTCTCAGGTATGGATTTGACGTAATGATGTCTTCAGTAAATAGACCTGGAGTCGGCCATTAAAAAGAAACAAAAGAAAAGTGGAGGAAACGTTCAGACGGGGCAGAGAACGTGGAGACGAGAGTCATGGTTGATGTGTGACTGAAGAGGTCAAGGGGCAGTACATATGTCAGTACTGTACATCTGAACTACCGGGACGGGGACCAGTTACAGGGACGTGGGTCATAAAGTACCAGACTGCTCAGAAAGAATCAAAAGTTTTATTTTAAAGTAGAAGTCAATCAAATTGCGATAATTTCGCAATACAAAAAAGTAATATACAATATTAAAAACATATGCTACAGCGAGGGACGACTATAATTAGATTATATATGGAATAATTAAATTATGTATAGTTTATATATATGATGGACTTCTGCCAGGAATTCTGGGACCCATGGAAGTATATGACACTGGGCCCCTACAGTATGTATGTATGTATGTGTATATGTTGATATAATATTCTAATATATTTGGCCTCCTATCAGTCAGGGCTCTTGGAAATGCTCTAGTGTGTATATTCTAACATCCACATCTTTCTTCTTCTCTTGCAGATACCGAGAAACATAACACCAT